TTCTAGAAAAAACATTACGTTCCACACAATTTTCTGTCGTAAATTTTAGGATGCACATAATTTTTTACTAAAAAATTACGTTCCACATACATTTCTATAGAATTTTTTAGGATCCACATTATTTTCTACCAAAAATATTACGTTCCACGCATTTTTTTTGTAGAAAATGTCAGGGGTACAAATTTTTTCTACTAAAAATGTTGAGTTCCACACCATTTTCTTTAAAAAAATGTATTTATCCACATGATTTCCCACCAAAAACATAACGTTCCACACGATTTTCTATAGACACTTTTGAGATCGGCACTGTTCTATAGAAATTTTAAGGATCCACATTATTTTCTACTATAAAGATTATGTCCCTCCTCAAAAATATTTCTAATAGAATTCTGTTTGATTCAAAAAATATTTTATTCCACGTGAGGTTGTTATAGAAATCATTTTTTCTACAGTTTTTTCAAAAAGATTCCAAAAAAAAACTCATTTTCGCGTAAAATTTCCCATATTGTCCCATTAAATTGGTCAGTTTTGCAAAAGATTTGTTTGCTCATTAAAATTTTATTATATTGATTTCTATAATAGAAGTATGGTAAGTTTCCAAAAAATTTCGTATCTTATCGCTTTACCCCTTAATTTCTTTTTAAAAAATAGTTTTCTCTTTTTGGCAGTAAAAAAGTCCTCAGTATGTTATAGATCATTATGTCGTGTGCAATGTAAACATGTCCAGTGTATACGCCAACGATTTAATTACGAACACTATCAGAAGTATTCAGAACACAACATAATTTATTTTCTATATAAAAAATACTCCTTCCCCTTCAAATAGCCAAATAAATCTTTATTTTCCATTAAAGAAAAATGTCGTTATTAATTCATTCCATATAATGTAAACACGCCCGCAATATACACCCGACGATTCAATTGCGAGCGTTCCCCGCATGATAAAGAGAAAGTGGGAACAGCATAACTGTTAAAATTCATATTTGTCTATTCATTCTCCTACGTGTAAAAAATACACTTTTTATATTATTTTATATAATTAAAAATATTTTACAATATCTTCTTTCCCTTTCCTTTTATTTCCCCCCTTTCTTGTACTAATTTATTTAATTTTTTATTAATAAAATCCCCTTTAATGTTGTCATTCATTAAACACCACACAATGTAACTACGCCCAGGCGTTAAACGCCAACGACTCAATTGTGATCACTCCACCATATGGTCAAAGAGCGAGAGAGAAAGTGAGAACAGCATAACAAAACAGCTGTACAACTGCTACACAAATCGATTTCTAAACCCCTACTCCATACATTTTTCGATCTAGTGGTCCCCTTGCATTTGCCGTTCGTTGTTGTTTGGTTTGTTTTGATTTTGCAATTTATTGGTAATTCTCTGCTTCACTTCACCTTTATTCCACAAATTCAACGCCGTTGGTTTGTTGGTTGTAAGTCTTTGTGGTTATTCCATTCAGTCAGCAGTGAAATTTTGATTGGTAGTGACGTCTAGTTGTTGTGTTTCGTATTTTGTTTTTGCTTTCTCTGCCTGGCTAAGAAAACAAGACGTCAACGTTTTAAAAATCGATAAAAATCAAAATTTTTTGTTGTTATTACTTAATAGAAGATAATGGTAAATAATTAACAACGTTTTTTGTTTTTGGCGTGCTGATAACATTGAAATTCTAGAAGGCCAAGGTGCTTATCTTACGGTAAGGAGGAAGGTAGGTGATGGGCATGCGGAAACAAAATTCGTTGTGAATGGAAAAGCCAGTCCCCCTGTTTTTTAAACAATAGCATCTTCAATGGAAGATGTCAATAAAATAGTGAAATAAAAAGTAGTGATGTGTGTGGAAGCTGTCCATAGGTCAGGTTCGAAATTGATCAAGCTCATTTTTGTTTGTCTTGTGCAATTTCATTAGGTGTTGTGATGTAAGTGCTTGGTTGGTTGATTGATTGGAGTGTGCCATCATCAAATTAATCGGCAACGTGCAAACACAGAGATAGTGTCTGAGTGGCCCCCCAGCACAGTGTCTTGGGAATTTTGAAATGTTGCCAAAAATTGAAATAGAAGAAGAAGATGAAACCCCCAGTGTTAATTTTTAGTAATTGTTTATTTTTTTTTTTAATTTTAGATTGAACACAGTGTCTTGGGAATTTTGAAATGTTGCCAAAAATTGAAATAGAAGAAGAAGATGAAACAAAGATGTTAATGTTCGCTATAGGGTATCAATGTTTTTCCTTTAATCGTTTCTGCTTATATTTCAAAAAATGAAAACTTGGATCTGAAATGAAGCTCAATGTCAGTTAGCTTAGCCCATTTTATTTATAAGATCCAAAAATCGCTGACTCAGTCCATTAATTCATTCAAACAACAGTCAGTAGTGCCAGTTTAATTAGAAACCTCAAAACTTTAAATGTGTTTAAATTCGAAATCCAGAAATCTAACAATGAAGTATGAAGGTGATGAAAACAGAATGCCAACCCCTTTCCCTTCAATTGAATTATGGTCATTTTAAATCGGGTGTTTCTGGTAGACGTAGGATCATAAAAGTATTCAGAGTTTATTTTCAAGAGAATATACAAATTATACTCTACCCCTGGCCCCTACATTAATTGAAGTATGTTCCCTGTACCCTAACAGCAATTAACATAACTATTTTTTAGCTTATCTTTTGTCAAGTCATTCCACGCGGTATATGAAGTGGAAAAATAACCAATTTTATTTTCATGCTCTAAAAATAGGCTAATCATCAGTTATAATTTTTTTGTGATTCCAAAACCCCCATTTAAAAGGCAATAACATTTTGTTATTGTATTAATTTTCCACAAAAGGTTCATTTGGGCCTCACATTATTGTTAACATGTTTAATGGATGGGGGATTGACTGCCTAGCTGTGACTGCACTTCGAATAAAATAATTTACATATTATTGATAGTGGCAGCAGGTAGAATACACGTAGGTTTTTTTGTATTTTATTCATGAATACAATTTCTTTGTTTTAATTATAATAAAGAATGTTTTCTCATTGTTATAGGAGATGCATACACAAGAGATGAGATTTACTTTCAAGAAATCTCCCCATATGCGGAGAATAAATTATAACATTTCTAAAACAAGAATTCAATCAAACCGAACAACGTGATCAATAGTTAGAGAAATATTTAAAATCTAACAGCACGGTTTTATGAGACCCCTAGAAACTGAAAAGACCACAAGTTCCCTTTGAGGTTATTTTTAAAATCACATTTTGAGTTACTTTAGATATTTATTATCGAATTGCAGTGAAATATGGCATGACCAATTTATTTGACCCATCCCTACTAGATAGACCCCTTGTTCCCTTTGAGATTATATTTAAACTCCTGTTTCGAATAACTTTATGTAGATCTGTCCAGGTATTTATTATCCAAATTGCAATGAATTTTCCCAGGGTCATTTGTTTGACCCTAAGACCAAACCTATGGAAATTGGTGAAAATAGCTTCAGTTTTAAGTATAGTTCCCACATATAATAATATCTAATTTTAAATAAATGGTGAAATAAATAAGCCAGGTCTGTTCGATTGACGTGATATTTGGCACAGGCTATCGTTTTGAGGCTGCAATGATGTGTGTAAAATTTGCTAAAAATTGGTTCGGATTAGAAGTATCTGCCACATACAATTTTCTGCGAATAGTGCACCAAGGAAGATACGGTTGTCCAATTGATACGAAATTTGGCACAGCCTATTGATTTTCGGCCACAATATTGTGTGTAAAATTTGCTATCGGTTCGGATTTAGAAGTAGCTCCCATATAAATTTTTGTCCGACTGGTGGACCAGAGACGTTGTGATTGTCCGATTGATACGAAATATTGTAAGGAGCAACAAATTGAGTCTAGAATATTGTGTACCAAATTTGGTTAAAATCGGTTCAGATTTAGATATAGCTACCATACAAAAATTCCTCCGATTTCATAGAATTTGTGACACAAAGGCCCTGTACTTATCCGATTGACACGAAAATTTTCAGAGACAACCGACTTGAATATAGAATGATGTGTGCCAAATTTGTTGGTAAACGATTCAGATTTCGATATAGCTCCCATACAAAAATTACTCCGATTTCATAGAATTTGATCGCCAAAGACCCTGGGTTTGTCCGATTGACACGAAATTTAGCACAGTATATCTAATTAAGTCTAGAATGATGTGTGCCAAATTTGGATGAAGTCGGTTCAGATTTCCATATAGCTTCCATAATAAAATTACTGCGATTTCACAGAATTAGATCGCAAAAGATCTTAGGTTTGTCCGATTGTCATGAAATTTGGCACAGTATATCTAAATTATTGATTTATATTTCTGTTCGAATGGCGTTCCAAAGCCGTAATGCTTGTCCGATTGATACGAAATTTACTACAGACATCCCAATTGAGCCTAGTATGATGTATGCCAAGTTTGATTTAAATCGGTTCAAATTTAGATGTAGCTCCCATATATATTTTCGGTCGATTTTATCAAATGGTACACCAATGATACTATGTCCGTTCGAATGATACGAAATTTAGCACAGAGCGATGAATTGAGTCCAAAATGGCGTGTGTCAATTTTAATATAAATCAGTTCAGGTGTAGATATAGCTCGCGTAAAGCTTTATCCGATTTTATTATACAAAGGGGTTTTATTTCCGTTCCTTCCTTTCTTTTTTCCCTTCTTATTCATTTTTAAATTTTAATATTTTTCTTAAATTTTTTAAACGTGTTTTATTAAATTTTTTTCTTTTTTTTTATTTCAGAATTTCTGCAGACTTTAGGAACCAATGAATATTTCATTACAAATCTTTAGTCATACAAAAATCTACAAAACCCACAGAGAGGAAACCTCAAATACAAAGAAAATTGAAAAGACAACATAACGACTAAAAATTCAAAATTAAAAAAAAAATAAATTTGAAAAAAAATTGCCAAAAAATCACAAATTATTAACCTACCCGCCACATTAAAAAAAAATCCACCCCACAAATGGAAGTTGATATAAATAATGGGTCACAATTTCCCATACAAAAATTGGACTTGAAATACAGCAACTATGATGAGGTATCGGAAAGTGTGCACGACAAAGTCAATGGCATGGTGGAGGTAGGAAAATCAAATTTTTCGAATTTAAAAAAAAAATTAATAAAATCCCCCATTCATTTCAGTTACTTCACGAAGTGTTTCAGCTGTATAAGCCCAATGAAATAATGTTGTCATTTAACGGAGGCAAAGATTGTACTGTGGTACTGCATGTGCTGCACACATTTTATCAGGCCAATCCATGTCTGCAGCATATACGCATACCCACAATGTATATAACAGATCCCGATGCCTTTGAAGAAGTCGATGAGTTTGTGGAGGAATGTGAAAAACTATTTAACATAGATGTGATACGAAAACCAGGACCTATTAAGAAAGCACTTGAGGAAATATGCCAGGAGAGGCCACACATTAAAGCAGTATTTATGGGCTGTCGGAGAACCGATCCGTATTGTGAAAATTTAAAGGTTATGCAGGTACTGAAATATAAAGAATAATTTCCCTTATTACTATTTATATTAATTTTGTCTCTTTTTTGTACTTAGCTCACAGACCCCGGTTGGCCCCAGCTAATGCGCATTAATCCCATTTTGGACTGGCGATGTCGTGATGTCTGGCAGTATTTATATTTGTACAAAGTCCCCTATTGTAGTCTATATCAAAAAGGTTACACCTCAATAGGCAATAAGAAAAATACCCTGCCCAACCCGTATTTAAGTGTGCTGGATGAAACAACTGGTGCAATTATTAGTTATCGACCGGGTCATGAACTTATCGATAATGATGATTTAGAACGCGCAGGACGCTTTAAACCACAAACGACGAATGGGAGTGCAACAACAAATTTAAATTCTAACACAAAATAATATTTTCTTTGTAAGGAAATGGAACTTCGTTAAAAAGAAACGAATTTAAAAAAGAACAACAACTATTTTTTATAAACTACTTAAAAACCAACAAACAACAACAACAACTACTTATAATTTACTTTCCACGACAGAGGGGTTATATTGCAATTTAGTTAAAAAATTCTAGTAAAATTAAATTCTAAACTATATTATGTAATATATTATTTAAAAATAACATTGTGTAAAAGCAATAGCGCTGCTACAACATCAACAACTTATAATTTAAAATTGTACAAATATTATTCGGGGTGCTGTTATATTGCTTTTAGCAAAATATTTTTATTTTTTTAATTTAGTTAAAAATTCTAGCAAAATAAATTCTAAACTATATTATGTAATATATTATTTAAAAATAATAATTATAAAAAAGATAAAATAAAATAATTTAGATATTAAAAAAAATAACAACAATAATTTTTTTAAACAGTTTTTCTAGAAGAAAATAAATTTTAAAGGAAAATAAATCCTCAAAATCCGCGCCTTTGGTAGGACTCAGAAAAAAATATCTACCCTTTAAGGCCTTTTGAACCTCTAGAAAATTTATTTAAAACATCCACGGCTTTAGGTCTTTTGAACCACTAGAAAATTTATTTAAAACATCCACGCCTTAAGGCCTCTTGAGTCTCTAGAAAATTTATTTAAAAAAATCCACGCCTTAACGCCCTTTGAACCTCTAGAAATTTTATTTAAAAAATCCACGCCTTAAGGCCTTTTGAACCTCTAGAAATTTTATTTAAAAAAGCCTTTTGAACCTCTAGAAAATTTATTTAAAAAATCCATGCCTTAAGGCCTTTTGAACCTCTAGAAATTTTGTTTTAAAATTCGACGCTTTCAGGCCTTTTTGTCGTCAAAAAATTTTATTTAAAAAATCCACGCCTTAAGGCCTTTTGACCTCTAGAAATTTCATTTAAAAAATCCACGCCTCAAGGCCTTTTAGTCGTCCAAAAAATTTATTTAAAAAAATCGACCAATCGCCGACACCTTTACATGTTTCAAATTTAATGTGTTGCCCAGCCACTCTATTATCTCTACTACCATATGTTTTCATTGCGTTTCGCCTTGCTCCATTACTTTATCATGTATTTTCTTTTCCACATTTTTCTATTTTCGACTTTACCAATCAGTTTTGTTTTGATTCTGCTTTATCAGTTACGTCTTGAGAAGCTATTTCTTTTAATTTCACAACGCCGAGGAAATTAGAGGAACTTTATAACGCCGACGATTTTTAAAACTACCGGCATTGTAAATCACCTCTTTGTTATGAAATTCCAAACAGCTGATGCCCAGTTCCTTCAACCTCCCTCCATAACAAAATTGTGAAATTAACGTAGATATTATAAAAGAAACCCGAATTGAAAAGTGTGCCCACCATGTCAAAAGCCGGCTCGGATATACTGGCGGTCCTAAGGGGCCTGCAGATAGTTTTGGAACAAGTGGTAAGTAACTCCCACAAAAAGTTTCCCTCCCTTTTTGAAAAAATAAAATTGTCTCCCTCAGCAACGTGAACATCGTGAATTAAGCCGTCACCTGTGGGCCAATTCCAGTATACGTGAACTGCTGGAAGAAAACCTAAAATTGGGCAAGGAATATTTACAAAAAACTGGCCAAAATCCCACCGAAGAATTAAAGAAACTACAACAGCTACTGCAAGAAACACGGGAACGTTCATGTGTGGTGGTGGAGGGTGTTAAACAGCTGACTGCCGCTAAAATAGCTACAGATTTCAAGATGACTCAGATGCCATCATTCACCTCCGCAGCAACATCAGCAGGTGAGAAGATAGAGCAGATGATGAGTGGGCGACCTGGCGAACAGATGGTGACACACTCAACAGTTGATAGTCAACAACGCGTTACAAAAGAAGGGAAATTGTCGCCCTTGACGGCAGCTGGTAAAATAGATGCAGCTAATTTGGATATATCCTCCATTACACTGAAGGAAATGGAAGAAATTCTCTCCAGGCGTTTGGAAATACGTAAACGTGAAAATATGGAACAGCAAAAACAAGAAACGAAGACGGAATCGACATCCTCTCCCAATGAAACCACAGCAGCTTCCTACTCGACATCATCCTCCACAGCAGCTTCTTCCACCTCCGCTCCAGTTACCGACTCCATGAAAGCCGATTCGGTATATGTCAAGAATATGCTATCATTTGTGGCAGGAGCCCCAGCTGAAGGCACGACAGCAACTTCCCCCAACTCGGCACAAATTGAATTACCCTCCCTGACAAAGGTCTCGAAACAAAGAAAAGTACCCTCCAGCCGCATTGGCAGAATGGCTTCCTTTGGTGGCCTTTTTGCCGGCCTCGGTATTGGTACCATAAATGAACTAACCAAAGGTGCCTTGGGCCTAGGAGGCTCCACAAATGTCAAAGATGCCCTCCTAAGTCCCGCCAATGCCGATCGTATTGTTGACACCCTGTGCAAAGTACGCGGTGCCGCCTTAAAGATTGGACAAATCCTATCCATACAAGATTCCAAAGTGGTCTCCCCCCAACTGGCCAAGGCCTTTGAGAGGGTACGACAATCTGCCGATTACATGCCTGATTGGCAAGTGGAACGTGTTATGAACACCGAATTGGGTCCTCAATGGCGTGATTTGTTTGCAAGTTTTGAGGATAAACCATTTGCTGCGGCCTCAATTGGTCAGGTACATCGTGGTGTTTTGAAAAATGGCATGCATGTTGCCGTGAAGATTCAATACCCCGGGGTGGCGAAGAGTATCGAAAGTGATATTGATAATTTAGTGGGTATGCTGAAGGTATGGGATGTTTTCCCCAAAGGGTTCTTTATTGACAATTTGGTAAAGGTAGCCAAACGGGAGCTGAATTGGGAAGTGGATTATACACGCGAAGCTGATTATACGGAGAAATTTAAGGAAATGATTGCACCCTATGGAGAGTATTATGCTCCCTTGGTTATACGGGATATAACAACGAGTAGTGTTTTGACCACGGAATTGGTACCCGGTGTACCATTGGATAAATGTTTTGAAATGAGGTGAGTAAAAAGAAAATATTTTTTTTCTGAGCGCTATCAAAGGCGTGTATTTTAATTTTTTTCTAAGACCTACCAAAGGCGTGGATTTTTAAAAATTAAAGTTTCCATATTTTGGTGATAATCATTTATTCTTTGATTAAATCGAGACATTTAACCATCGGGGGTTTTAAAAAACAATTTTTTCTGAGTCCTACCAAAGGCGTGGATTTTTAAAATAATTTTTTATCTGAGCTCTACCAAAGGCGTCGATTTTTTGATTTTAATATTTGTCTCTCTCCCTCCCTTTCCAGCTATGATCATCGTCGCCACATAGGCGAATCGGTATTGAAGCTATGTCTTCGAGAACTTTTTGAATTCCAGTGCATGCAAACCGATCCAAATTGGTCGAATTTCCTCTACGATGCCAATTCCCGGAGGCTAATGTTGATTGATTTTGGTTCAACGCGTTTCTATCAAAAGGAGTTCATTAAGAAATACAGAAGTGTGAGTAGAACTACCGCAAGAAAAATGAATTCCAGAAAACTAAAATGTTTTTCTTTTTCCCCTACTTCAGATTATTATGTGTGCCGTTAACAATGATCGCAAGGGTGTATTGGAAATCTCCCGGGAAATGGGTTTCTTAACATCCTATGAAACAAAATTAATGGAAGAGGCTCATGTGGATGCCGTCATGATATTGGGTGAAATGTTCCGCTGCGAAGGGGAATTTGATTTTGGAAAACAGGTATGAATTTTCTTAAAGAAAATTTCTTGGAAAAAAAATTAATTTTTTTAATAAATCTTTTTCTATAGAACACCACTGAACGCCTGGCAAATTTGGTGCCCACAATGGTGGCCCATCGTTTGTGTCCACCGCCCGAAGAAATCTATTCCATACATCGTAAATTATCTGGCATCTTTTTGTTATGTTCAAGGCTGAATATACGCTTGGAATGCCGTCCCCTGTATGATGATATTGTGGTGGGCAAATTTAGGAAATAAAAACTAATATCTAATATCTGTTTATATATTAAATAAGGTATAAGTTTAAAAAGGGGCTTTATTTTTTTAGTTTTATAACTAATTTGTTTTTCAAATGTAAAATATAATATACTAACAAAGTGATGTTGTTTAAAAAATTTGTAAAATAAAATAAAAAAAACTGCAAAGCACAAATGATGACATTTTTTTTTTTAAACAATCAAACAAAAAAAACAAAAAAAAAATAAATAAATCCACGCTTAAAAATATTTTAAAAATCCACGCCTTTGGTAGGTCTCAGAAAAAATTATTTTAAAAAACCACGCCTTTGGTAGGACCCAAAAAAAAATATTTTAAAAATCCACGCCTTTGGTAGGACTCAATCCACGCCTTTGGTAGGACTCAGAAAAAATTATTTTAAAAATCCACGCCTTTGGTAGGACTCAGAAAAAATTATTTTAAAAATCCACGCCTTTGGTAGGACTCAGAAAAAATTATTTTAAAAATCAGAAAAAATTATTTTAAAAATCCACGCCTTTGGTAGGACACAGAAAAATTTATTTTAAAAATCCACGCCTTTGGTAGGACTCAGAAAAAAATTATTTTAAAAATCCACGCCTTTGGGAGGACTCAGAAAGACTTATTTTAAAAAGAAAAAATTATTAAATATAAATGATTATCACCAAAATCTGGAAACTCTATTTTTTATTGCCACCAGGATCGGAACATTAGTTGGTATGGTCTTTATAAAAACCAATTGCTCAGCAGGTCTTTTAATTCATTAAAATTACATCCTCCACTATTTTTACACAACAAATCAAATCCCAACAACAACACCATCATAACAACAACAAAAAACCCACAATAATGCCAACAAATTTGTGGAAATAAAGAAAACAAACAAATCTCACCCCACCTACTCTTGCCATGATTTTTATTTGATATCTGAAAGAATGCCCATCATCACCACCACCCCAGCAGCATCACACCTTCGCCATCCTGCCTTCGTGCCAGCACCATCCAATACGGCCATACGCAATGATACATTGTTGTGTAAGGAAATAGCAACTCAGCAGTCAGATCTCATCAAAATGTTAAGTTTTAATGGGGTCAACTGACAGTTGAGTTTGTGACACTCACACACAGATACAAACACACACATACTCTGTTACCCATAAAGAAAAGGCTATAAACTGGCCAGCAACATTTTTCAAAGTGACATGCCATCACATACATCAATAAGTCCTTTTGGCTCTCTATCTCTCTCTCTCTGGGAGATTTGAGATAATTGGTATAGGAAAGAAAAATCTGCAAAAAGGACATAATGCTCTTTTTATCTTTAGAGAGAGAGACATTAGTTTTTTCTCTTTGTATAACAGTGAGATTAGAAAACCAACCCCTTTGCAGGGAAATTTTACGGCGAATTGACTGTTCTCAACATTTTGAAAGTTTTCCTAACCAAATTTGACCTTAATAACATAACCCCAGAACTTTGTTAAACCACAGAAAAAAGGAGTAGAGTAAAATATTTTCGATTTTTCCCATCCATCTTTTTTCTCTTCTCCATTTGCCATTAGACATTTCAGGTGGCTACCTTACTTGACCCATTAGAGCTGTTGTTGCCTGGTTGCTAACAATTGTCAGGACAATTATGTTTTTGTGGTTATTCTTTTTCATTCATTCGACAATTACATCCCTCAGTGGTTCTCCAACCTCCCCCAACCCCTGGAAAACAAATTCCCTTTCATTTTCAATTTCCATTTCATTTGATATTAACAAGTTACAACAATTTCTGTGCCCCTTCCTCCTCCTCACCACTTTTGTTACTTGTCCTTGTTGGTTTTTGTAATATCCTTTTTACACAGTTATTTTTCTTTGTCCTAATGCCGTTTTGCCGCCTAACTGCTTGTCATCCACTTCTGTTTCTATTTTGTTTAGTATTTTTTTTATTTCCACTGTATGATGTCATCAATATATTACTGAAAATGGCCAACCGAGTCGTGTCGAATAATGTTCGGTGGAGTCGTTTTGTATTTGGTATCCTTCTCGCTGCCACCACTGACTGTTAACTGTTCGGGGCGCTCACCCTTGTCCCCATTTTTTTTGTTTTGTCAGAAAAAAATTATTTTAAAAATCGACGTCTTTGGTAGGTCTTAGAAACATTATTTCAAAAATCCACGCCTTTGGTAGGTCTTAGAAAAAATTATTTTAAAAATCCTCGCCTTTGGTAGGTCTTAGAAAAAATGGTTTTAAAAAATCCACGCCTTTGGTAGGTCTTAGAAAAATTATTTCAAAAATCCACGCCTTTGGTAGGTCTTAGAAAAAATTATTTTAAAAATCCTCGCCTTTGGTAGGTCTTAGAAAAAATGGTTTTAAAAAATCCACGCCTTTGGTAGGTCTTAGAAAAATTATTTCAAAAATCCACGCCTTTGGTAGGTCTTAGAAAAAATTATTTTAAAAATCCTCGCCTTTGGTAGGTCTTAGAAAAAATGGTTTTAAAAAATCCACGCCTTTGGTAGGTCTTAGAAAAATTATTTCAAAAATCCACGCCATTGGTCTTAGAAAAAATTATTTCAAAAATCCACGCCTTTGGTAGGTCTTAGAAAAATTATTTCAAAAATCCACGCCTTTGGTTGGTCTTAGAAAAAATTATTTTAAAAATCCACGCCTTTGGTAGGTCTTAGAAAAAATTATTTTAAAAATTCACGCCTTTGATAGGTCTTAGAAAAAATTATTTTAAAAATTCACGACTTTGGTAGATCTTAGAAAATGTTATTTTAAAAATCCACGCCTTTGGTAGATCTTAGAAAATGTTATTTTAAAAATCGACGCCTTTGGTAGATCTTAGAAAATGTTATTTTAAAAATCCACGCCTTTGGTAGGACCCAGAAAAAGTGATTTTAAAAATCCACGGCTTTGGACTCAGAAAAGATAATTTTAAAAATCCACGCCTTTGGTAGGACCCAGAAAAAGTGATTTTAAAAATCCACGCCTTTGTTAGGACCCAGAAAAAGTTATTTTAAAAATCTACGCCTTTGGTAGGTCTAAAAAAAATATATTTTAAACCTTCCACACCATTGGAAGGACTCAGAACAAATTATTTAAAAAAATCGGCGCGTATTGTACGACTATTTGTCTCTATACATACTACTCCCAAAGAGTTTGATGTCTCGATTATATAATAATAAATAAATGATTATCACCAAAATATGGAAACTCTAATTTTTCGTGGTCCAAACGAAGGCTGGATTTTTTAAATTATTTTTTGGCGTTCCCGGTCGATTTTTGATTAATTAAAATTATATATGATTATCACCAAAATATGGAAACTCTAGTTTTCACTATATTGGAGTGGATTATTTAAAAATTTGTTTTCTACTTTTTATTAGCTACTAATCCGAAACAGTTTGGGGTACTGATTTATTAAACAATATAAATTAATATCACCGAAATATGGAAGCTCAATTTTTTCTTGACTCAGCAATGGGTGTGATTTTTTAATCAATTCTTATGGTTCAATGTATCGATTAAATAAAAGTATAAATGATTATCAACAAAATTTGGAAACTCTATTTTTTCATGGCACATTAACAAGCATGGTTTTTTTTATTATTTCATGGCGGCGTGTTTTTAGGTTTATTTAAATATAAGGGCCTATCAAAGGGATATGATTGATTTATCACCACTACACCATTGGAAAGACCTTAGAGTCCTTTTTCAATACAGAAATTTCATATATTGTAAATATATTCCAGATATATGTTTCCCTATGTTTCTCCTCTCATTCCGATTCATTCATACAAAAAATTCCATTCATCTTAAAATCATGTGTAAGTAACCATCCCGCACAACATCTTATCATCTTTTAATCTCCCTCCTTTCAAAGAAATGTTTTTTCAGAAGCTTCTTGACATTAAATTGATCTCGATTTTAATTTCACCAGAAGCCAAACTAAACAACAACAAAAAACGAGGTTAGTCATTAGTGAAGTGGAGTAAAGCAACGAAGCTGGAACGGCCAGCCATCCAACCAGCTGCCTTCACTTCAATGGTAATTTATTATGACATTTAATTGCAAAAAGAAACGCAATATTTATGCATTCAATAGTGAAAATATTACCCACAATTCTTGGTAATGACACAAAGACGTGTGGAGAGAAAGAGTGGGGAAAAATGAAGAAGAAGAAAAATAAACAAGCGACGTGTAAATATGCCACTTAACCACACACTCCCATAAGTGTGGTAAAAATACACATATATCTACTGTATGTAGATATATTTCAATATATACAGTTACACACAGTCAATGTGAAAACAAATGAGAAATTATTTCAAGTCTATGGCAGGATGGCGGAGTTGCCGTAGTATTTGAAAGTAAATTTTACCATACCAAATTCGAATTACATTAGAAATACATCAACCAGGTTACTGTATAGGAACCTTTTGTATAGGACTCAATTAAAAATTCACGCCAATGGTAGGTCTCAGAAGAAATATTTAAAAAAAATCTACGCCTATTGTCGGACTCAGAAAAAACATATTTTAAATAGTCTACGGCCGTGGTAAGTCTCAAAGGAGTTTATAAAAACCCATGGGTTTGTATGACCTTGTGGCAATGAAAAATTAGACTGGGAATTCATCAAGGAAGGCATTAGTTAAGCAGGGGCTTTCACAAACCGAATTGATGCTGATGTCCGTTAGAAATTCTGGGTGGGTATAAATATAAAACTAATTAATATTATATTGACACATATAATCTCTTAATAATAAGAATCTTTTCTTTGCAGGTAATAAAATAAAAATCGAAAATTTATTAGTGTATTAGATCCTATCCACATGGATATAGTTGACCGGAGCTGTAAAATACTTTCGAAGCTCTAAGCAGTATGCTCTCCCTGAAGAATTACAAAATTAGAGTTTCCATATTTTGGTGATAATTTGTATGCGGTATCGTGGCCATGAATCGAATTGGGATATGTCAAGAAGTCTCTGAATCGTAGAACAGAATCTCTTAATAGTGAA